CTCTTTTTCTTAGATTACACAGGATCTCTAGGCAGTACGCATCCTCAACCAACCATGTCAGGAGTTATGCAAAGGGTTTTGATCTTCTTTAATCACACCCTAGAACTGGAGAGACTTTATATCTCCCTTTTTGCTTGTGACATAAAAATGAAATTTTGTACTAACCCTTTGTTCAGGATGTACAATAAAATCGAATGGTATTTGGGTAGACATGTTCCCTTGAAAATCCCAGCCATCATGTTCAGTTGGAAATACTTCCTGTTTTGTGACTGATGTAACCCATTCTTAGACTCTGGAGAGAGTTACTTCATCATGCAGGTGTGAGAAGGGATGCTGCTGTTCACTGTTCTCACTGCACCACAGAGACATAAAACACCTCTTTCACTGCTTGGAACTTCACAGTTGCTGACAAAATCATCCAATATGTTACTGCCATCACTAACTCATGTTGTCTTCCACATGTCTTAGGAGAATAAACCAGATGGAGAAAAAAGGTCTGGAGCTGTCTTTAGGACTGAACCCTGTGCATGGAACGGGAACTTCTGCTCTGAGACCATCGGAAGGCCCCTGCACTGGAACAAGGCTGAAGGCTCACAAGGCACCATCTGGCATCATCCCAAAGACCAGATGGGTGCTACTTTCTCATGCACTGTATCTGCTTCTGGATCCCCCCCACATGCAGAATGCTATAGCAATATGTGCATATAATAATAGGTGCTGGTGAAGTCAGGGCCCAGGTGCTTTTTGTGGACCTTCCTACTTTTTCTAGTGAGATTTGAGGAGAGTTAACACAAGAAGATTTAGCCCAGATCACTATCAGCAAATGTGCATGGAAACACCTCCAACTTTCCTACAGCCTGGTGACTTCTCACAGGCCTGGGCCAGCTCCACAGTTGCAGCTGTGCCTACAATAACACAGAGCAGCCTTAGAGCTGTGCCACTGAAGACACAAAGATTAGCAATTGAACACGACGTCTGGTTCATTGAACTGAAAAGTCAATCTCAAAAGGCAAGCATGTACAGCAAGTTACTGTAGCAGACAGTAACTCACAGGAAATAATGAGAGATTTGCCTAGGACTCTGCCTGCCCGTCTTATATGTGTTGACACATGTTTCTGCACTAGTGATCTTGATCACAGAGTGACACCTATAAACAGACATGTGTTATGACAAGAACATTTAATCCCATCTGACTCCATATTTATGTGATGCCTTAGCATGCTCTCAGTATCCAGAGTGGCCAGACTTTGGTGTCTGTACTCCCAGATATTGTAGTAATGGCAGGGATCCGGCAGTAATTTCCAATCTCTGCAAGGTGCATGTGTGGCATCTTTTTAGCCAATATGCAAGAAAAGACCTACTTGTACAATCATAGAATCATAGCATCATTTAGGTTGGAAAAGACCTTTAAGATCATCGAGGCCAACCGTCAACTGTGCCCACTAAACAAGCAAAGGTCTTCCTCATATCTTTTCTATTTTAAACTTGCATCGGCTGCATTGTTATCTTTGAAACTGTATATCACTCAGTGGAGTGATACAACTCAGAGCATCAACATAGAGAATGTGGGGAACTGAGGTGAATGCAACCTTCAGACCTCAAATTAAGAGTATGAAAGATTCTAAAGGATCTGACTTTAACACCTGGTTCTAGTCTGGTAACATTTATGAGATCTAAAGGTGGAGCTTCTTCACCAACCACCTAAATTACCAATGACATTACATTGTACTCTATTAAGGCACAGGACTTCTCACATCTGTTCAACAGTGTCTCTTTGGAGTAAACCAGATTGATTAACACAGCTCACTGCAGTTCCATCAGTCCTACCCAGCTAAGGCCTGAAGTTTAGACTCCATATATAGGTATTGAAGTACCAGGCTTGGTTCTTCCTGCTACAGAGATCTCTAAACTCGTGTCACCTCAGTCTAACTAGCTCACATCAGAGAAATTGTAGCTTGGCAGCAGAATCTGTCCTTTTGAGACTGTCTTGGCAATGCTACTGCTGCTGCAGAAACAGCACCTGCTTGCATGGAAGTGAACCAAGAACAGTATCTTTGTGAGGATTTGGTCCTAGAGATCACCAGTTGTGTTCTGACGTGATCACTAGAGCTCATCTAAATCAGCAAATCTGTGAGAAGGCATGAAATGAGTGTAGCGCAGCAATTCAACTCTGTATTGTAAGCCAATGAAAAGCTGCTTTGCACCAGCTGGGTATACCAAGTCAGGCTGAGTTACTTCATAATTTACATCTTTTAGCTGGTTAGCTCGCTTGCAGCATCCCCTGCCATAGGATTTGTCCCATACTGCTGAGCACTTACATTCCCACCGGACAGCAGAGGAGGGGCTCTGTCCTCAGCTTGCCTTTGCCTTTGCTAGGCTTTTCAAAGCCACATGGCTAGAGTATAACCCTGATATCAAGCTGCACAGAGCAAACAAACTAAGAGGTCTGACTCTGCTCTGTGCGGCATGTGTGGCACTTTAGTGGCCTCACTTTAAAAAAAAAGGAGATAAAAGCCCAGTAATTAGAATGCATGGGTTGACTGGAGACTAGGAAAGTGCACGCTTAACTTCCCTGGATGTTCAAACCTAGCAGGTGCCTGTGCACTGAGCTGAAGGTAATGCTCCTCAGAGAGGCTAGGTGCCCATGTAGTCACCGGGACACGTTTCTGGGGAGAACTCCCTTGCAGGGTCATCTGCAACCTGGTTCCCAACCTGCGCCATGCTCTGAGAAGGGAGCAGGAGTGGGTCTGACCCCTCCTTTCCAATCTCTCTCTGGAGCAGGGGTTTTGAGTCCCTCCACCTGAGAGTGTTACGTAGCTGCTGGGACCCATAGGGTCCTACCATCCTCTGGGTGGTCCTTCAAGGATTGCACCTAGTCTGGAAAGGACATCTGGCTCTGAGAAATTTCATCTGGGATCCAGGGAGGCTGAGAACCAGTTTCCTGATTTTTCCTAGGGCCTGTGTCCCAGGAAAGCATCACTGGCTCCAGGCTTTTCAGGAAGGAAGGCTTCAAAGACCTAACATGAATAACATGTCTATCAGGGCTCCTAGCAGTAGTGCAAGCAGAGCCAAGTTGGAGCAAAAAGTTGTGGAAAGGACTGGAAAAAATGATTGAGTTCTTCATGTTTTGTTTTGTTTTGCTTTTTTACCTAGTCCTTGTCACAACTTTCCTGTTAAACAGCCCTGGAGGATTTTTCAGTAGTTGAGAAATTGTTACGAATTCTGTTGAAACAGCTCAGCACTATGTGAGAGTGATGTTAGTTATGATGGACTTGCTGTGACTTCCATGTGGGTGCACTGAGGAATCCTGGGGGAGTTCATTTGGAGCTTACTGTTAGAAGACTCTGCTACTGGTAACATGCTAAGATCATCCTGACTTTTTTCTCTTCTGACCCAACTGCACAATTCCTGGGGCTTTTTTTTTTTTTCCTTTTTTCTTTTCTTTAAAAAGAAAAAAAACCTATCCACAAAGCAGAGGTCAAATACAGACCACCTTAATCAGAGGTTCATTTTATCCTGCTTTAGCACTTGTCTGTAAAAGTGCATACTTGTAAACTGCTGGTAAAAGCACCTAACAAAAAAAAATCTCTGAATTATTTATAAAAGCAGTTTGTGTCTTCATGTGCCGCTCAGAGAAACTAAGCATCCCCTCTGATGAATTAGTGATTAGTCAGTATTTAAAAGGCAGTATTTACAGGATACACAACTGCTTAAAATTGGACTGCACACAAAGTGAGTTATATTGTAACCAGCTGCCATCACCTGCCTGTTAGTTCAGCTCCTGAAGTAGCACAGAAATGTCTTACAAAGATAGCAAGGTTCTTAATTTAGCATGGTGGGGAAATATTTTTCTGCAATACTATTACTACATTAGGCAGCTGAAATGTGGAGCTGTAATAATGAAATGCATAGATGTTTTGCAGATTCAGATAAACTAATGAGGAATTATTTGCATGAATAATCTGGTGCAACATCACATATATGTTAAGTTTCCTGTGCCCCTGTGCTTCTGCAATATGTGGACCACTTTCTCTGTTTCAAAAATATAATCCTCCTTTCTCTATGCATAAATCTTGAGTAACATGACATGGTCCCTCACACCTGGAATACTCAGGTTTAGAATTTATAGTTGCTGCGGACATGTATATTTCAGCTGTTAGGGATCAATAAAAGCACATTTTGTGTAGAACCCTGAACATCTTTCAGGACTGTGGCTATTTCAACCTCCCTTCTCATTTAAAAATTCTTTATTGTTAGCCTTGCAATCCTCCATGTTTGGAAGAATCACACAGTTCCTACTTTGGTTTCTAACATGATGAATCTTCAGAAGATAGCTTGTTCACAGGTGACACCTTAGACTACAGAAGCCCATTATTTTTTATATTGCAACTTATACCCATCACTGCCTGGAAGGATTCTTATTAAACACACGAAAAGTTAGAAGAGAAAAACAAACCAGAAATAGTAAATTTAGCTATTTCTGCAGCTATAAATCTTCCCAAATGATGCATAGAAAGTAAACAGTTAAGAATTTTCTTCTGGTCAGTTTTCTTTGTAGAACAACACCATTTCACTCTCACACTTACAGGGTTTTCACAGCCATCCTGCTCAGCCTGGAGTTATAATCTCCCATTCCCCAAAAACCACAGTTAGGTTAAATTTTTTAAGGAGAGAAAGAACATACTCCTTTTGAAACACAATGATTTCAGTTCATTTCTGAAAGTGACAATTACTCACTTTTCCTTAAAAAACCCTCACACCTTTTCCTTTCTTAAAAGAAGGTGCCCAGCACTGTAAGATCCACAAACTTATTCAAACTGATTACAAAACTCAATGGGACTAGCACTGGACCCTAACAAAGTTTAAACTACAAGCAGATACAAGTCCTTCTGAAAACAGAGTTGGGGTAGGATGTGACTAGCGTTTAGAAAAAAATAAAAGAAAAACAAACCAACCAACCAAACAAAAACCCCAAACTGGACAACCACAGATGAGCTTACCTTTAAAGAAAGACAGGAACAAGGATGCCCAGAGACATAGTCCAGAATAAACAAATCCCAAGCACTTTTCTGTGAGCATTGTCAAAAATAGGCTGGCTATCCTTCCTGAGCAGAGGGAGAAAGAGGATGAAGTCTTGGAGACAGCCTGCAATGACTGATGGATTTGGCAATTACAGTAATAAGGCATCAAACCAGCTTCCCACCAGGACAGAGAAGTACATTCGGTCATGTGCTTCTCCAGTCCCCAGGAGCCAAATCAGCTCTGTGCTGGGTCAGTAAATCCAAACACAAAGGGGCTGGTTACTTTGCTTGGGACTCACATTCCCAGACACTCAGGGCCTTTTCTTGGTCAGAAACAAATGCTAGTGGTTCCAGCACACAGCTGTGTATGTACTGCAAGAAGGGGGAGCATGCTGCCTGGGAGATGCTTTCCACATCCCCACAGACTGTACCTAACTCAAGACAGCACGTCTGCAGCAATTCCAGTGCTTGCACTCGAGTGCCTCTAGAGCTGTTTCCCAGCAAAATGAGTTTGTGTCCCTCTCTGCTCTCTCTCAGCTACCAGTGCAACTTGCAGCAAGCACTTGTGGCATGGTCCCTCTGCCATGTACCTGCCCTTTCTCCCAGCAGAAGTGGCTGGGAAGCTTCAATAGTGCAGAAGCTGGAGAAGGTGAAACTCACCAGTCTCCTGCTCTTTTTGATGCATCCCTTCCTGCAATCACTTTCACCAGAGGCAGGGAACTGCCCCGAGTGCCCTCTTCCCAAGCTGCCCACTGCTGCTGGCTCCCCGCTGTGGAATTTTGCACACATACTGGCTCCCCTGGGACAGTTCCTCTACCTCCCCACTCTAATTTATGCACCAGCCAGTGAAAGGCAACGCAAGGCAAAGGCTCAAATACATTTCATGACATTCATCATTTGGGCCTTTTTTCTACTCTTTTGCCTACTCTGCACACTCACCCACTTCTCTTTCACTGAAAACAGGTGCAGGACTTTGCGCTTCCCCTTGTTGAACTTCCTGGGGCTCCTGCCTTGGCAGGGTACAACCCTAGGTTGATGCAGAGAGCAGCACCAAGTTGTGACTTTGCACAGGAGGAGGGATTTGGCTGCTGCTGTAGCGAGGCTGCACCAGGCAGTGGAGGCTGGTAGGTGAGCAGAGCCCTGTGACATGGGGGCAGAGGGTGTGGTGAGGAGGAGGCTAGGCCTGGGGTGATGAGTAGCGGGACACAGGCTGGCCCTGGAGACCCCCAGGCTGCAAACATCTGCCCTTGGACCAGCTGCAGAGATGCAGACCTAGAGCTGGGCAGAACCTGCTTTTGGGGGGAACAACAAAATATTACCTGGCACATGTAGAAGGACCCATCAGCATCAAAATCCCACCTCTCCTGACCAGGGGCTGCATCACTGCACCCCATCCCTCACAAGGCTGTCCCCAGCGGCCATAGGGCCCAGCAGACATGTGAGGAAACAGTAGCTGTAGCACCAGGAAAAGGGGGGAAAATCAGCACAGGTGCAGTTAGCAACACCACCAGCATTGTTAATATTAAGACTTTTCCCACAGTTTTCATGCTTTCATTTTCTTCTATTAAGTGATAAATAGATTTGGGGTCCAGGACCACAAGGGGCTGGTGTGTGCCCCAGCTGGCCCCTGAGGCACCTTCCCAGTGTCACCAACAGCGAGGTGGCTTCCTGGGGGGCTGGGAAGGGTCCTTGGAGCTGCTGGCCCTCCTCTTCAGGGCTCGCCAGGGCCCCCCACGTGAGCGTTTGCTGCCCCGGCTGCGAGCGGAGAGCCCTGGCACAGCCTCCTCTGGGTCCTCTTGCTGCTCTTCTTGCTCCCTATGGGTGGCAACAGGGGCACAGGCAGGACTGCTGACACCCCCATGAAGGGCTGGGCTGGGGGCATGATACCCTCCTTAGGAGACAGCAGGGCTGGGGGCAGCCACAGGGCTGTCCTCCCACCCACTGGCAGCATGTCTATCCCCCAGGCCCATCTGATGTTGGGCCTCCCCACTGCACTGGCACACAATGGTGTCAGTCAGCTGGTGGACAAAGCTCCTGGTGCCCCTGCCCAGGGAGGCCTGCAGCAGCTGGACCAGAGCCTCCTCATCCAGGCCAAAGTAGCGCAGGCTGGATGTGACAAGGCTTTGCACTGCTGCTGCTTCCTGGGCATCCTCGAAGAGCTGCCCCAGCTCCTGATGCAGCCAGGGCAGCAGGGGATGGAGGACAGTGGGGTAGACACGGAAAAGGAATGCCCAGACATAGGCATGGAAGCCACCTACTGGAGCTCCCAGCAGAGGCCCTGTGGCTACTGACCAGGGTGCTGGAGCATGATGGAGGCTGTGGGCGGCTGGGTGTCCGGGGGCTCCTCTTCTCAGGTGGACAACAACTGACGGTGCCACAGGTGGTGGGATGATGTGGTCCTCAAAGTCGTTTTCCTCCCGCACTGAGTGCAAGATGGAGCTCACCCTCCCTTTGCAGAGAGGGCAATCGGGCTTGCTCTCAGCCCACCGCAGGATGCAGGTGTAACAGAATTGGTGGAGGCATGGCATCACGTAGCTGGCCTCCTCCCAGCTGTCCAGGCATATTGGACAGTGGTTCTCCAGCTCCGTGGCCATGCTCTCCATGTGCTGCGGTGGGCTGGGAGGAGCTGGGAATGACAAACCTCTCCCTCTCACTGCCGCTGCAGCAGCGGGTGTCTAGAAAAGGAAGACGGGCCACAAATGTTGGCTGGCCTGATGAGGGGTGGAAGAAATGCCCAGGTCCCTCAAGAAGGAAACCCTCCCAGCTCCCCAGGGTGAGGTTTCCCTGCACAGCTCACCTCTGCTGCTGCAAGCACGCCTCCTGGTGCCCTGGCTGCCTGAGTGAGGAAGGGCTGGGGAAAATCCTCTGATGGCTCTGGGGTCAGGCACTGCGAGCTGCACTCAACAACTTCCTGGGCACGACCTCAGCACCAACAACAGCCTTGCACGACGCTCCAAACCTTGCGTACTCGCTCAGCTGGAGTGTGGGCATGAGCCAACTGGGTGAGACTCGGCACCCAAATACAATCAGCAAGGGATGCGGCATCACAATCCATTGCTCAGGGATGTCACAGTCTCACTTGGAGGTGTCACAGCCCATCTGTCAGTGACATCAGAACCCATAGCTTGGTCATGGCACTGTCCATCTCCCCTCTATTCACCCATCTCTTGCCTTGTGCTCAGCATTGTTGTTTCACGCCAGTCACCAAGGCCTCAGCCGTCTCTTCCCAGGGCCCTGTCAGGTCACTCTGGCTGTGGCAGATGTCTCCAGGCACATGCAGCAAGAGGGTTAATTGGATAACACCTCGTGCCTCCCTTAGTGACTGCAGTACAAAGTCCCACAGGCTCTTCCAACAACCCAGCACTGCTGGAGAACCCTCCCCTGCTTCCTCCTATGGGCAATCAAAGGCAGCACTTGGCTTGCTTTTGGGGATTTTCTACTTGTTGAGCCATCAAACCAATGCCTCTAGCTCCAAGCTGTGGGTGTCCATTTGCCGAAGGTGGTTGCACTTCTCATCCCTATGGAGACACCACAGGATGCAGTCACTTCTCCAGATGGGTGTTTGTGTTCAGCTCCTGATGACCCTTGGGCCAGGATGGACATAGTGCTTGGGCCCCAGCTCAGATGTGGGGCTGGATGGTGCCCAGCATCCCCCCTTTGGGGTCTGCAGGGTGATAATAATATTACTGACAGACCTTGGGCTGCCTGGTTGTCTGAGTTGGAGGACCATGACTGCAGGAACAGTGAATTTCCATTTGTGGACACTGAAATTATAAGGGACCAGTTGTATCAGTTGAATGTTCCTAAGTCTATGGGGCCAGATGGGATTCATCCCAGAGTACTGAAGGAGCTAGTGGATGTTTACAGCAGGACCCCTCTCAATTATCTACCAAAGGTCTTGGGAGTCTGGCAAGGTCCCTGCTGACTGGAAGCTAGTCAGTGTTATTCCAGTTTACAAGAAGGGCATGAGGGAACACCCAGGAAACTACAGACCCATTTGTCTAACCTCAGTACCTGGAAAAATTATGGAGAAGGACATACTGGGTGCTGTTGAGAGGCATTTAAAGGACAACGTAGTCATCAGGCACAGCCAACATGGGTTCACAAAGGGAAAGTCCTGTTTAATGGATTTGATATCCTTCTATGATAACGTCACCCACCTAGGGGATGAAAGGAAGGCAGTGGGTGTAGTTTTTCTGGATTTTGGTAAGGCTTTTGATACTGTGCTTCACAGCATCCTTCTGGACAAGTTATTCAACTGTGTGATAAGCAAATACATGGTGCACTGGGTGAAGAACTAGCTGAACAGCAGGGCTCAAAGTGCTGCAGTGAATGGGGCTACATCTGGCTGGCAACCAGTCACCAATGGTTTTCCTCAGGGTTCAGTTCTAGGGACAGTCCTGTTCAATATTTTTATCAATGATCTGGAAGCAGGAGCTGAATGCACCATTAGCAAGTTTGCTGATGATACTAAACTGGGAGGTGCTGTTAACTCTCCTGAGGGATAAGAGGCCTTGCAGAGGGATCTAGATGGCTTGGTGTCCTGGTTTCAGCTGGGGTAGAGTTGATTGTCTTCCTAGTAGCTGGTACAGTGCTATGTTTTGAGTTCATTTGAGAACAATCTTGATAACACTGATGTTTTCAGCTGTTGCTAAGTAACATTTAGTCTCAAGTCAAGGATTTTTCAGCTTCTCATGCCCAGCCAGCAAGAAAGCTGGAGGGGCACAAGAAGTTGGCACAGGACACAGCCAGGGCAGCTGACCCAAACTGGCCAATGGGGTATTCCATACCATGTGATGTCACATCTAGTACATAAACTGGGGGGAGTGGGGGTGGGGGGATCGCCGCTCTGGGACTAACTGGGTGTCGATCAGCGGGTGATGAGCAATTGCACTGTGCATCATTTGTACATTCAAATCCTTTTATTATTACTGTTACCATTCTATTAGTGTTATCATTATTATTATTAGTGTCTTCTTTTCTGTTCTATTAAACCGTTCTTATCTCAATGCACGAGTTTCACTTCTTTTCCTGATTTTCTCCCCCATCCCACTGGGTGGGGGGGGATTGAGTGAGCGGCTGCATGGTACTTAGTTGCGGCTGAGGT